CGAACTGCCACTCTGCTACACCTGCGCGCTGGATCACTCGGAACACAGCCTAGATACGGTGGACGGCGCCGCGGCCATGGCGCAGCAGCGCACCCGCTCCACGCAGCAGGACGCGCAGGCGTTCCTGGCGGCGCTGGCCGAGGCGCGCCACCGCACCGTATCCATGGCAGAGCTGGTGCGGGAGAGATCAGCGCGCGCTCAGCTGGACGCCGCGGCTGCCGGGGATAAGCTACGCGCCGCGCTGGCCGCTTGGCAGACGCGACTGGAGAAGAAGGCGGCGGCCGTGTGCCAGCTGAAGGTGTCGCGGCTCCACCAGCAGGCTGAACAGCTGGATCAGCTGCGCGGCAGGGTGCTGGCTCTCCTCGACCAGTTGGCCAGCGGCTCGGGCGCCGACGGTGACGCCGAGTGGATGGTGCGGGGTCTGACGGCCGACCACCAGCTGCGACTGATGATCGGGCAGGCCCAGCTGACGCCGACGGAGGACGCGGCCGTGAGGTTCGTGTCCCCACCCGGTGGCGCCGCTGTCGAGTCGCTGCTGCGCGCCGCCGGAACCGTCGAGACGGCCGGCTGCGGCGCGCAGAGTCTGCTCATGGAGAGTGCAGCAGTGCCGGTGGTCGGGCGGCCCTACCAGCTGGTGGTGCAGGTGCGAGACCACTACGGCGACGACCGCCGCTCGGGAGATGACCGCGTGCAGGCGCGTGTGGTGACGCCCGACCGGCGCATGCTGAGCTGTGACGTGGAGCACCTAGCCGGCGGCCGGTACCGCGCGGCGTTCGTAGCACGCACCGCTGGGGAGCACACCTTCAGTATCACCGTGAACGGCACCCATCTGACGCACAGCCCGTGGACACGGCGTGCCGTCTCCCCGCGCCGGCTCTCCTCCCTGGGCCCGGTGCGGCTGACGGTCGGCTCGGAGGGAACCGAGCCCGGTCAGCTGTGCCGCCCCTGGGGCGTGGCGTTTGGCGGTGACGGCCGGATCGTGGTGTCGGACCGCAGCAACCACCGCGTCCAGGTGTTCTCCGCCGACGGCCGGCTGCTGCTCGCCTTTGGAGGACCCGGATCGAAGAACGGGGAGCTGAACAGACCGGCCGGCGTGGCTGTCGACTCGATTGAGCGTATCGTGGTCGCGGACAAGGATAACCACCGCATCTGTGTGTTCAGCGCCAACGGCGAGTTTCTGCTCAAGTTTGGCGAGAAGGGTAACCGGCTGGGGATGTTCAACTACCCGTGGGACGTGGCGTGCAACAGCCTGGACCAGATCGCCGTCACCGATACGCGCAACCACCGTGTGCAGCTCTTCTCGCCCGACGGAATGCTTCTGAAGAAATTCACACAGGTAAGAGACGATACGTCAAATACACAAGGCAGGATAGATCAAGTAAAAATTTCTTTTTGGTGCTCACTCGCACTATTTTTAGTCAGTGCTGCGGTTAAGTTGATAGTGACTAGAAAGTAGAAACCAAATGTAGCAGTTATGGTAGACTGCTATCTCTCACCGGAATTATGATAGGTATTAAAAATTTTCATGGCTGTGCTATGCAGGGTTATAACTTGGAGTTGTGCCTTCACCGCCAACTTATTCCGTGCCTCGCCCTACGCAGCACGGTGCGACTTCAGTAAACCATAACTGTTCTCATCACCGCCTTACGGCGACCCTTTCCATTCACAGGACGGCACTGAGTGGAAGGAGCTGGACTCTCCGCGCGGCCTAACGTTCCACCCGGACGGCAAGCTCTACATCACAGACTTCAACAACCACAGGATCGTAGTGCTGGACCCGGACACGGGCAAGATGACCTACCTGTGCCGCGAGGGCTCCGAGCCCGGCCGACTCCTGCGACCTCAGGTCAGTTTTATTCGACGCTACTCGTCTCTTGTTGGCGATAATATTTGGATCTTCAGGGGCTTGTAGTGCCCTAAAAATGCCCTTATTGATAGAATGTCCCATTAGCCAGCTCCGTGGGGCTGGTCGACCCCAGGACTCTGACGTCTTCGAATACATTTGAATCTCGGTGACATTGCGGGATGATTTCAGTTTAGTTTTCATATGACTGGTCAAACACGGGGTTTTAATATTTCTTTGCTTTGCTGAGTTTCGCTGGCTTTTGCTGTCAAATCTGATGGGCAGTAACTCATCCATTCCTGCCCGGCCTTCGTCTCCAGGATGTCACTGGCACCCCGTGACACCCCTAGGGCGGTGGCCGACTTCATCCCTCTGCTAACCGCCCCCCTCTCTGTCCTCAGGGTATTGCCGCCGACGACGAGGGCCGTCTGTACGTTGCGGACTGCCGCAACTCACGCGTCCAGGTGCTGACGCCACACGGCGAGTTCTTGATGAAGCTCGGTGAGCACGGCAGTCGGCCCGGTCAGTTTGACCAGCCGCAGGGCGTGGCGATCGGACCGAGCGGCCAGCTGGCTGTGGTCTGCCTGGAGAACCACCGCGTGCAGCTCTTCTGAGGGGGCGGCCCGTCGGGCGGTCCCCTACAGGCCAGTGAGGTGCTGGGGAGCGGGTAGAGCCGCGGAGAGGGAGAGCAGAGACTGAGGACTGAGTAGAGAGAGAGAGAGAGAGATGACTTTGGAAGTTCAGTGGTGACGAACTTGGACTATGACTGAATGATTCAGGTCTACAGTAGTCGAGACGGGCTGAGGCTGGTGGCCTGGTTATTGGGAGAGGACACTGGACTGGTTTATCGGGCAGCGTATGTCCGCTACAAACGGCAGGGTATCTACCTCGTCACGCGCACCGTCGCGGAACGATCAGGGACTTTTTGGGCGACCGGGGACGGTTAAATAGGCCGTCTCCGGCCGCCCGCGTGTTCAAACATATGTACCTTTATTTGTACGGGTAACAGTTACGTGTGTTTCGGGGACGGGGTGCACGCCGCCCCGACCCCTCGGGTACAACGCCCTAATGGGCCAACGACTTCTCAGGAATGAAGACAGGGTCGATGTGCGTATTCTATCGCCTTGATTGTACATAGATGTAATTGCGCGCGGCTGGGCGGCTGCATATGTATTTAGCAGCTCGTCCAACGTCGTGTGTTGCTTGCCAGGCGCTGTCGCGCTCGCGTGAAGCGGGCTCCGCGGGGCGGCGCCCTGTACAAAGTAGGGTTTCAGGCTGGTGCTGTTCAGACGGCACCTCTCAGGGTTGCAGGCTCAGGTTCAATCTGGGCGCGCCAGTGGCGCCGGCGGTGCGCGGTTCCTCACGTTACCGATACGGGTACCTTGGTCGACAAGTAAACAGCGCTACGCACCGGTAGAGGCCGCAGCCGCGCGCGCGCGCCACCTCAGCCGTCTCTGAGACGGGGAGGGCGCCGCCCGGCAGCGCGGCTCGAGTTCCTGTATCGCGTGGCCGGCTCGGCAGGGCCGATGACGCGTCACGGAGCCGAGGGCACAGCTGCCCGCTCCCGGTCGGCGCGTCACGCTGCCGGGTAGCCGTCAGACGGAATCGCGCCAACTCCGTCAGACGGAAGTGTACAGGGTTTGAGCTGTCAGACGGGTGGAGCGCGCCGGCGGCGTGTCGGGGCTCTCCGACAACATTGAGAGACGTGAGAGCGCTTTTGACAGTTTTTCTTCTATCCTCTGTACACTATTAGGGAGTTAGGTTGACTGGCGTGGTACGGTTTGTGACTAGGAAGCCACGACAGTTGCGTAGGACGGCATTTCGGTCGGTGCTGGCCGTATGCCGCCGTGCACATACGTACTATGTAGCCAGGAGCTGGAATCGACGCGCAGGTTTTGTGACTATAACGGGGTGTGCGGGTGCATCGTACCGATGAGAGCTGTGTGAGACGGGGCGGACGGCGGCCGTCGCGCTGCGGGTCGGGTGTTCGGGTGTATCGTGCTGTTCGGAGCTGTGCGGAGCGGGAGCGGGCGGCGGCCGGTGCCTCTGCTGCGACCCGGCCGCCCCCTCCCGGCTCCTGGCGGGTATGCTGCGTGAGGGCCGGCGAACGACTACGGGTTCCTGAGAATGGTTCGGGTGTGCCTGGCGGGGCGAGCTGGGGTGTGGGGGCGGGCGAGGCTGCCGCAGTCCCCGTCCCTGCCGCCGGCCGCCGGCGCGGGCGGGTCGATTTTCTGATCACGGGTCTGCTGGTAAGATTTTAGCTATACGCGTGCGAGCGGTTTTACGTGCGTAATCTTGTCTCTGTAGGGCGCTGCCGCCTGTGGTGCTGCTGACGAGGGAGCCGCGGGGCCTCAGGCCCGCCGGCGCCCCCCAGTCCGGTTTAACCAGCGTGTCGACCTCAGGTCATTTGGCGCGCGCCGCGGGCGTGACCTCAGGTCGCCCGGCTCTCAGGGTGCGCTGCGGCGCTCACATCCGACTCAGGGATTCAGCCGTGCTAGCGATGCTAGTTTAGAAGGATCAAATCCAGGTGGCCGGCGCCGCGCCGCGCGCCCGGCGATGGTTTAACCGCGCTCCGCACGCTGCTTCGCGCGCTGGCAACACACCGGTCTGTTTCGGCTGTAAGCTAAGACTGTATGCTGTATGATATTCTCGCTTCACTCGCCCGCTCGTTGCCCGCTGCTTTTGCTAGAGGGTTGGCAATTTTGCCGACTTCTCGCGAGCGTACTTCACAGCTCCTGCCTTCTACCCGCGAGGTGATTTGGTTTTTAGACGCTTTTATCCCCGGAGACAGCCTTATATGTATTCTGTTTAAACTACTGGGATGCTTATTGTCCTGTCAGTGTGATGCGGCACGCGTATTTCAGGACCATGCCAACAATCACGAATCACGGTGGCAATTGGCGAAATTCGGCCCGCGCTCACGGCTCTGTTTATAGGTGTTGTAATCATTCTCTTATCGTCTCAACTTTGCGTGCGTTTCAAAAATAAAGTTCTTCTTTACCTACTGTGTTTACGTCCGAGTGTTTGAATCAAAGCCTGAAGAGCGAACCGCGCCGTGATGAAATCAACACACCTGCGGCGGTATGGGCAGCCATTACAAAACGAACATCACTCACTGATGGTCGTATCTCTGAGTCCAGTGAATGATACACTCGCGTTCTCAAACCCACAGCGCCTGTATTGTGTATATCGTGCATTCGACCATCATCCGATGACCAGTCAGTCACCACTCGCACAGTTCCTCCGTGGCGTGAGCCGGGTAACACGTCTACAATGAACATCAGTGTCCGCCACAGGCCGAACAGCTATGCGAACAGCATCGGCGAATTCTGACACATCGAACACACGCGTCGGTGAAACTCGTTTCGTTAGAGAACGCCGCTTGGTAAGTTGTGTCAAACATTCTCCCGCCCGCGCCGTGACGTCACGAAAACAGCGAGATAATGGTATCAGCTGGTTGACGAAATGAGGCGCACTTCCGACTTTCAGCGTGGTGCCGGAACACTGGGTTTGCCAACCGTCTCACCCACGCATGCATCTGAAGTCTGAACCACTGATAGGCACGACTCTCGATATCTTCTGTGCGCGACCGACTGACTCGAGACGATCGCACTGAGATCACTGATACGGTCAACTCCAGGCACAAATGGCTGAGGAGGACACAACTTCGAGTATTTAACGCATACGCTCAGACAAACGGTTATATCGGGATGCATCACAAACATAAGACATGCATATGTGGTGACGCCAATGGTGATACGAGACCATGCTTGGGTTTCGATAACACCAAGACAAATATTAATGTGATAAAAACAATGCTACTTGACTGATAAGGTGAATGGAACTCAGAAGCATGTGAGGTTAACTTAGCGGAACTTGAAGGTCAACAGCGCTTCATAGTAACGTTAACAGTTCCCGTAACGACAACAAACATTGAAGGCAGCCATCCTTGCCGTCCCCCTTTCATTCCGTGCATCTCCTCACACACCACCAAACGGAGTCGGGGAGACGGCCGAGAACATGTGAGGCACCCGAGAGCCAAACTGGCCTCGCGTCCTGGTGCACTCCAGATCATCTGTCTTGCTGTGCGGCCGTTATCACAGCTTCCACCGCCAGCTGACGGACAGGAGACAGTCAAGAAGGCGTAGGTCTTCCATCCACCGCTCGTGGCCGAGGGAGACCTAGTGGCTCCGTTCCTAAGGCGCCGAGGCCGCTACGTTCATCACGCCCGCCATCATCTTGGCGATTTTCATTTCGTTGTTGAGCACTGAGGCGCGGACTGCCGAGATCTTGTCCAGCTGGTCCTGGATGCTCTGTTCGTACTCGGACAGCGCCGCCTTCAGCGGCTCGATAGACGTGTTGGTCGTGCTGTAGGCAGGGGAGGGGGTCAGCGAGGCCCTGCCATGCCTAGCAACGCGGTCATGGGGTGGGGGAGACATAATCAGGGGTGCGGAGCCGGAGCCGGCACATTTTTGCCCGGAGCCGGAGACGGAGCCGCCATGACATTTCACCCGGAGCCAGAGCCGGAGCCGGAGCCGGAGCCGATTTTATTCCTCCGAAGCCGGAGGCGGAGCCGAAGCTGTCTGAAATTTCCACGGCTCCGCATCCCTGGACATAATGGTATGAGAAGTTACGATCTGGGCCGTAGCGATCTAGCACGGCAGGCGAACTTATTGCGTGTTCCAGGCCATAGCCAGTGCCCTGAATCGATATCAAGGAATGCGAAATGAAGTGACCCTTTTACCAAGTGACGTTTCTTCCATACATGAATGAACATAATCTGGCCATACATTGACGTCCTGGGCAGCTGCGGGCAGTGGGCACATCCGACATTTACTCACAAACATTGTTTGGACGCACACGAGGGGTTAGGTAAGCGGTCTCCATTAAAAAGTGTGCGTCAATTAACTAGCGGGATACGGTGAACTAGCTTTTAAAGCATACTCACTCCATTTCTGAGCGGATTTGTTGCGTCATTTCCTTGTTTTCCAGTCTCCATTTGTCCAATTCCCGCTGCATCGAATCCACGTCCTCTTGAAGGAAGTCCATCATTTTACCTACGGCAGGAATAATGCGTCAGTTTGGATGCCTTTGGATGCCTTTCTGACGTTGCAAGACTCTACGATGCATAGAAGTACTCTAAGACTGCGGCTAGTCGGTTAGATTGCAATGAAGGCCTACAATAACACAAAAGTGGGTTCCATCGCCGCTATCGGTTATTCTGAGGCAACGACGAAGATTCATGGCAGGGAGCTACGATTGGATGAATGAACCCACTGAATTGTTCATTCAGTAGGTTCATTCAGCTATTGTATGTGTGTGTGTGGGGGGGGGGGGGTACCCACACAACGGTACCCCACACCAGGGGTAGGTACCCACCTAGCGGGTTGGCCGACTTGGTGACCTTTTGTATGCTCTCCCTAAGTCGGGCCACCTCCTTACGGACGGCGTCCTTGTCGCGGCTCTTGCCCTTGTCGGCACCCGAGTCTCGCTCCTGACGACGGACGGTACGGAGGTCAGGTTACTGATGGGAAGCGGGGGTAAGGGGACACCGCACGGTGATGGCTGGCTCGGATTTCAGAGCCGACTTCGACTGCGGAACACGGATGTCAGATGAGACGGGCGATATTTGAGATGAGTGGGGGTAGACTATTAGTCCTTACCGAGCTTTGAAGGCAATCAATCAAGTGGTTCCAAAGCAATTGATGAAAGATGCGATGCGTTATATGGACGAAGATAATAACTGTGTGCATTGCGCTTATGAATAATAATCATTGATGCATTGTAGTGCAAGCGTCGCATACCATCCATTAATTCATTATCGCACTCGAACGATTCGAAAGGGAGCTTTGCTACAGTTTCCAAAAGTTACCTACTTGTAAAAGAAATCGACTGGTTGGACCATTTCGCAATTAATGTCGTGCGTTTTGGACTCATGAAAAATAAGCAAATGAACAATATCGACCAAATATGATTATCATTCTATTTCAAAGTAGACACCGCATATTTTATATCCACCTGTACTCACCCCAAATTCCTTGTTTGCAGATTCCTTGACAGCATAAAGTGATTGTGTCTTGTTATTGTATGCACACGATAACAACTCACAGTCACAGAACTTTGAGTTGCGGACAAAATGCATATTTATAGATTGGTGTCGCTATGGTGCATCATTCAGTTATCTCGTGTTTATATAATATGTGATGCGCTACGTCTTAGTGGAGCGCACTTGACGGCGACATTAGGCACAGCTCATTCGTAACAATGCATTACATGCTTTATATGGGCACAGCAGCTGACACCAGCTGTCACATACGATACTTTCGAGAAGAGTTCTGCAAGGCTCATATTGCACTGCTGTACTTCCAAAGGAAAGGCGCTGCATACCAGTATAAGAAGGTACTACTTTTACCTGTGGTTTCCATGCGATCGACCATACAATGGACGGTCATACGTGGGTGTGACAAACGGTTCGGGGCCAGGGAAAGGTGGTGTGTGTGTGGGGGGGGGGGGGCGTGATGGGGGAGATACTGCATAGCTGTAATAATACAGAATGCTTAATGCCATCAACAATTAAAAGTGCATCGTGTACTGAATGCTCACAAGATGTCAGTGGACTCGCTCCGATCATTCAGGCATTTAATATCAGGAGCGAGGGCAGTCCTGCATTATGAGCAAGACATGGACTCCGAGTGTCACAGAGCTAACTAAGCAAACTAAGCTGACGCGCACTTACGATTTGCGTTTTTCCCTTGAGCTCCTCCTCCATGGACTTTTTGGTCTCGAGGATTTGTGAGACGAGGAGGCCGTGCTCGCCCTCCTCCGCCTGTTCTGCCAGGTTCTCGTCCGGCTGCATCATCGCCGCCAGACCCTGTCGGAGCGGACAGTTTGTGTCAGGGGACGGGGACAGTTAGGTTCACTGCGGTCAACGAGAGCGTGGGTTGATCTGCCGCTGCGTAAATGCTGCTCAAGCTGGACTGTTTAGTGAAGACAAGGGACAATAAATAAAGAAGGCTAGTATTGTGAGTTTTTACGATACCCACAATCTACATGCATTCACGTCACACATTGTGCTATTATGCTTGACATTTCTTTGCTAGTCTGTACACATCTACAGCCACCACCTGTCCTCTCTGTCACTCCCTTTGAAACATGTCCTCATGACGCCACCCACCGGGTCGGGCGCCAGTTTCTTCTCCTCGACCACAAAGTGATCGTCGTCGTCGTCATCCTCGTCGAACATGACGGCGGCGGCGGCGGCCGCTCCACCGGGCGCCACGTCATCCAGCTGCTGCTCGATGGCCGCTCGCTGTTTGGGTCTCGGAGCGGCCGGTCGCGCGCTGCTGGGCCGCGCTGATCGGGCCGTGCGCGGCCGAGGCGCCGAGAAACCCGTGCCGCCGTCACTGCGAAGGACCGGGGTGGGGTTAGGAGTGGTTAAACACGTCTTGTAGTGGAGCTGGAAGGGTGCATGACCGAAGGATACATGAAGATGGACGATATCATATGCGACGCGTAGTTTATGTTCACGCATATCAACAATGCGAAAGGTTGTACAGAAACTCCCGGTTATGTAATTCATTCCAAGTCATGTTAATTTCCGGAGATGCTTTAGCCTAATAAACGTATTGCGACACCTGTCGGCAACTACATAATACGCAGCGTAATTTCAACTACGGCGAAGCCAGCCGATCATGTTTTACCTGACCAAAGCCATGTCCATTGTATGTACATAATCGTCACCCGCTCACGGACCGGTACTGCCCACCCAGCGGCCAGCGGTCCAACGTTACGGCACCCCGACGAGTACATACCTGAGCGGGACGGTAGTGTCCATGGTGATGTCGCCCTCCTCCTCGGCCGGCGCCGGCTCGGCCTCCTTGGCCTCCATCTGCAGCTCCGGCTGCGCCTCCACACCGGGCTCAGAGCCCGTCGGAGCAATGTCCGCCATGATGTCCTCAAACTTGGGAATCTTCTTCTCTGTACGGCAGCACATGGTGGCGTTGAGGTCAGTGAAGGGAGTGACAAAGACAGATGAAGGAATTAGGAAGATAGAAAGGGTGAGAGAGAAAAAGGCAAAGATCCTTATACATGCACCTGGTCATACTCAAACGAGTATTAGAAATTATTAGCCGTTGCCATACTAGCATTTCAGAATTGCCATCTGAAACCAATCAGTCTGGAATACACGACTCGTCTCAGTTATTGATGTCGCACTTGCCACATTGCGTCACTGTCGCAGCAATAGCGCGTCATTTTATTCCCCGAAGCAATATCAGAGTTAGCAGTAATGCCATCGATTAGGTCGATTGGTTCAACAGTTACAGGCGTAGAAAAGGTCAGACTGATTTGCAACAAACTAGCTAAGCCATCCACTTTAGTAGTAGGTAGATACGTGCATAGCTGTTGAATAAATGGCACGGGTGTGAATTATTCATGACGATTTGTGTAGGTGTGTTTGTCGTTGACGACCTGGCGTTTCTTTACGGTGCTGCTGCTGCTAGCAAATATTCCCTTCAGCATCGAAACAGCACGACAGGGTTACCACTGGGCCAAGCCAATTCTACAAATGAGCAATTATGTTCTTCGTGGGACATGACATACGACAAGGCCGTAACGTAAAATAAGCGTAGGTAACGCTCCATGTGCAGAATTACCAAAACTTACGAAAGAAATTCCACTGCGAGCTAAAAATAATTGTCGATTCCCCTTGGAAGCCATTATTTAGGAACCAACGCAACCATGGGTCTCGCAAAAACAATATCGTGATGCAAACAGGCGAATCTAAAAAACGCATTGTCATGACGTTTTTTTTTTGCAGCATGATGAGCTTGGGGCATGTTGCTGAAAAAAGAGTCCGCTTGAACTTATTTGGACCATTGACAAGTTCACTCACACGGCCGTCGTTCAGTGCACCGTCTCTCAATATGTGCATGATGATAAAGTAGTACTATAGAACAAGATACAGTGACGATACCATACTTCGATTTCGCGGTCATGCAACAGCGAAACCCACAGCAAACAACACTAGAGCTCCCGCAGTGCCATTTGCCAAGCAGAAGTGCGAAGCCCCACACCGCAGCCAGTCCTCCAAAGCTGCAGAGGTGTGAGATATGTATGTAGAAACGTGTACGTTATCTCAATATACAGCACGCACACAAACCGACGCGGTTGGAAGCCAGAATGCTGCGTCGGAATAATGTCATTCGGGAACACCTATAACTATCTGGTCTGCAATGTGTGTGAAGAAGACAAAACGAAGAGCAGTGGATAACGAATTGCCCGATGAAGGGCTCCACTCCCATGGCCTGCAAAAGACGGAAGCATGCGGCGGATTCCAATGAATGAAGGCATGCTCAATCTGCACGATAATACTCATGCACCAATGTCTGCCACGCCACTCATTTGTGATGTACGAGTATGTTTCGTATGTATGACACACTTATTGTACAGCTGTACACTGCTCAGCCGTACACATGTAAGTACACGCCACACGGAAAAGCATGCAGTGGACTCTGATCGGAACCACACGCTGGTGCTCTGACAGCGCTGGCCGGTCCCGGGCGCCAGCTGCGGACATGAGGCGGACACGGGTGCAGCTGTGCCGGTGCCGAAAGAGCTCTCCAGTCACCTTCGTCCTCCTCCTCGAGAGCGGCGGCCGTGACGGGCCGGCTGGAGGCGCGGCTAGGCCGCACCGAGCCCGGCCGGCCGGACACGGGTCGCTGAGAACCCGGTCGGCCCGACACGGGTCGCTGGGAGCTCGGCCGGCCGGACGTCGGCCTCTGGGACATGGGGCGTGCCTCGAGCACGGCCGGGCCCTCGTCCTCCGGCTCAGGGTCCGGCTCTGGGGCTGGCTCCGGCTCCGGTACCGGGTCCGGAGCCGCCGGCGGAGGGACGTTCTCCTCGGCGGGCTGCGGCGCTAGATACGGCCCGCCGACTCAGTCACAACTCAAGGAGCGCGGACAGTCCAGCCACGCGGTGAAAACGGCACGGGAACGCCCACACTGATAATACGCGCCGCAGTTGCGTAAGCGAGCTACACACTGATAGGCTCATGAATGAAATAAGGATCACACCTCGTACCAAATGCCAACTTTAAATCGGATGCATTTTATCACCTTTGTGATTATCATCAATCATCAATTTCATCATTACCTTTAATTAAATGAAGGAAAGATAGTAAACCAGAGTTTCGAAAATATCGAAAACGACTAATTATGCTTATATAATATATAGATGGTGTTTGCCTAAAGAGAGAGTACCTATTTTCACCCTAATTGACGAAGCACTTGAGCGATTTTTTAAACATGCATGATTTTCTTAACAGCTCCCTTTATTCCCTTTCTAATAACAATCAACATAATTTATTATTGTAGCATTGCTAAGGGATAAATGGTACCGTACCCCCCAAATGATCGCTTGGTTTTCCCGTAAATGCAATACTCATTCCTAAGCTCTTGCACCACACATTCACCAGGACAGAAAACGTAAGCCGATTGTACTTACTTTTCTTCTTCTTCCCTTCCTTGTCATCTTTTCCTTTCTTGCCTTTGTCATCTTCTTTACCCTCTCTGCAATAAAAATACACGTTAAGCATGACCGACATGAAGGCATCGGCAATATAAAACCATTTAGAAATTCGAATAGCCCATTCGGCGCTTTAGCGCGAGGTAGCGCTATTGTTGTGCTATTCGGCCCGATAATTTTAGTAGATTAAGCCTTTTTAACAGAAAGATAAAGACTAATTGTGCCCATGGGCCATGAACCCACATGGTCCAGTTGAGGTCATGCGTTGTTACGCAAATGGCCAACGAACAGTTTTGTTTTCGGCGATAAGTGTTGGCAAAGATGATAGATCGATGGATGATAGATCGATGATAACAACGTTCAGCTCAACAATATGGATAGACTGACAGTGCAATATACAATACATAATTACCCTTTACTGTCCGTTTTGACATTAATTTGTTATGATTTTCAAAGTCTTTTTGCTTTTTGCTACGCTTCGAACGCCATTTGCCGCTTGTCGCTGGGTCAACCATGCACCGCATCTAGAGTGGGAGGGGTATGAAAACGCCCTCTTCACAGCTCGAAATGTTACTATGGGATTGAATATGCCATGGTGTATATAGGGATTTCTAATTGAATGACGGACTCACCCCTTCTTTTTCTTCGGTTTGTCCGAGTCCTTGTCCTTTGACTTCTTGCCCTTTTCGTCACCATCATCTTTTTTGGACTTCTTTTTATCGTCCTTGTCCTTTTTTGACTGAAATAAAACATGGAATACATAGAACGTGATACAATAATTTTTTTTAGCATTCTTACTATGAACGAATCTAGTGTGCATAGATCGGAGTTTATTATCAACCCTGTGACATTTGTATGTCGCAATTTACATGGATTAATTGCTTACCTTAAAAACTAACTACGTGCCAAATCAATTATTATACGTTAAATAGAATGAGAAAAATGATCGACGGTAATAGAGATAATTATTCGATTCAATCAAACAAGCAAGTCTGAAACGACGATGGAATGAATTTACAAATTATTAGGCATGTGTTTCACATAAACAATTGGGTAGTCAACACAATTTTGAGCAATGCAGTTTATAAGCTCCCTTTTATCATTCCTCGTATCACACTGGATAGTGGATAGTACCTAACTACTAACTCCCGGCAAAATTATTGTCTCTTATTCTCTGCCCGACATTTTTCATTTCTGCATATGCATTCTTCACGTAGTCTGATCATGATGGAAGTAAAATATGAATATCTACCTACCATACAGATTTATCCCCCTTTCTGAAGTTGGTGGTCGTTGGCTGTAGGTACCTATACTCGTACTCACCTTTTTGTCAGGCGACTTGTTGGTTGCGTCTGATAATGACGCACCACCTTTGGGCTTCTTGGGCGAGGCCCCATCTTTGTCTTTCTTTTTGGACTTATCTTTGTCTTTATCTTTGTCCTTCTTTTTGCCTGGCTTCTCCCCGGCAAGAACCTTTTTGACTGCCTCGCCGGACGTTGCCTGTAAAAATGTGAATTGAATGAACATACACAAGTACAAGAAAAAATTATTGCTGAGGATAGCATATTGAAATCGAGGAAACAGCTACAAATTATTTCAAACGGACTCAGGCCCGGACTTCTAATCTATCGAACGCCTGAAGGCCTCAAGGGTAAACAAAACAAAATCAGCAAGGATGGATCTTATTACCAATCGCACTGACACTAAACGTTCATTTAAAAGATAAGCATACTTATTTGTTAAAATTTTGCGGTACGATACGAATGCAATGGTAGGTACCTACTCAACGATTGCAACGAATGATCGCTTCAATGGAATATAGCAATGAAAGTCACATAACAATGCAACTGCAAAGCTGCAACTTTTAATGGGCCGTATTTTATACTTAACGTTTTTTGCGGGCGACATGCTCCCCTTTGAAGCAAAACAAACGATGAAATGAATAATGAAATGGATACGCCTCTGGCAACGCCACTCCAAAACAGCTCAAACTCAAATGTAAACAAAGCAGGGATGAGTGCCCCGTTGCCATGACAACGGTGTACATTCAAGGTTGACAGAAGGGAATTGCTTTGAGCTATTTTACTGCTAAAGTATAAAGGCACAAATTTTTTTTTATAGAAATACAGGCGTAGATCTTGAAACGGAATGTTGAATGTGGCACATGAATCAGCATTTATGACTAACACATGGTGTGCTCTCAATGTTGCGGGACGTCTGCTTGCGGACATCATGATGATTGATGGCTACTACGGAAATGAGAGCGCATGACGCCGCCAAATATGAAATATCGGCTAGGCATCCGGTGACCCGGTCACTGATAACATTGTCATCATAGGGTAAAACTGTAAAAGGTGAGCACCAGTCCCCATGTTTAGGACTTAGGTAGTGTTAATGAATGCTTTGAAGTTTGAATATTCCCTGACAGAATGACAAATCATCGGCTGAAGCCTGAACACAATGTCACCAGGCTTCAATGCTTTGGTGGGACAGGCAAGCCTGGTGCTAATTTTTCTCGCTCGCATCGCTACTGGTTAGGTCTGCAAAGGCGGTGGCTGTCTTCCCTGCCCTCGATGTCTGACCCCACTTTCCCTATATTGTTCCTCGGGGCTTGACCCGACATGACCCGACGAAGAGCAAGCATAACTGTCCGTTTGTTGTCATATTGACGTATAACCAGCTGATATAATAAAAAAGTACATAGGTATAAGATATTTCAACGCATCACGACAGACAAGCAAACCAGCGAGAAAGGCATATTCATCTGTCCCATTACGATCAGATATGTTGATCGCGAGATATCACGGTTATAACTAAATAATAAATAGACAATCAAAATAACTGCATCATACAGCACGTTGATAAATCGCATAACTAAACACAAGGCAAACAATGCTTCCCGAGCTGCTAATTACAGACTATTCTGAGTCTCTGTGCCTCTGTCTGCAAAGAGCTAGAGCTGGTTGGCACATCTATATCACATTGATCAGTGAGGCGCCTGTTCCATGTACGACGATCTTCACTTCATTCCCTAGCTAGCACAGCGAGGTTATCACTCGGTTACAAAACTACAAACTGTATTCCTTCGGCGAGATGACATTTTCGGCACACTGTTTCATAGGCAGATGACAGCGGCTTCGCCCGTGGTCCGGCAGTGACACGGTGGCTGGGCTTGTATCCTTGCCGGGATGGGATAGGAGGCTGGAAGGAAGACGGAATAAAGCTGATGATGGAATGGGATAAATAGGACCATTACACAGTAATACTGAGAAGAATGAAATGTTTGAACAAAACCATTACGATGTAGATCGTACTATGGAGAAGGGCAAATAAGGAAAAATAATTAAGATGCCTACTCCGTGCGCAGCGAAAGGCAACAACTTGTGTTCCAGAAATGGATCTTACCTTTGTTTCTAACGCCTTCCCGATGCTTTGAAGAAGTGCATTCGTTTTAGCAGTTTCCAACCCGGCCACAACTTTTCCAGGTTTGATGTGAAGCTTATCACCGGTGACAAACTCTGCAAAAATAAACGTATTCATCTGTAAAGCAGTTATAATAGTTGACCGCATGACACTGATGTTCGGTATGTGAGTGAATCAGACACAACTGGAAATAGTTGACTGAATGATCTCTACTATAGCTGGACATAATAAGCTTCTATATAAATACTGTGGCTATAAATACTGCGAACTTGGGTAGGTACCGATTATATTACGACATCGCACAAGAATCGTATTTGAAGTGACCGCGCAGGTCATCCAGTACCAGATACACTGAAGGGTCATCACTTGTCAAACAAATGTCTCGATATAAAACGATATCCGACTAAATAGAACACCCACAAACTCGTTTTTAGTTTGATTGCCAAAAGCAAACTCAAACTTACCCATGACATCGATAACCTTCTGTATGTATGCAACCTTGCTCTCCTTGTCCTTGAATGTGTCTGACTTCATTTCGGCCGGGGTGAAGAGTCCCTCCATCAGGCCATGTTCTTTAATAACCTGCGCGAAAACGTCACATCGGTAACGACATGTCAAACTCTACAGGCGGCGGCATAGCGGTTACAGTAACTCAGTATGTTATAACTCCATTTTGGAGTTATAACTCCAGAATATTAACTATTAAACAGACATGTCGGCTCGGCAGATATGAATTAAACAAAGCAGCGTGTCGATGATTACTCTAAGGCAATATCGTGAACTGATGTAGAAGCACGTCAATCAGCATCTAATTCTATCACAGCACATTCTTGCTCACGAACGTGTTAAAATCGTGAACGTGTTAAAAAAATAATCGAAACAATTTCCGTGAAACAACAATGCGTCCATATAAGCAACGAATGAAGTGACCAGCCAATTGGTTGACGATTGTGACACTCACAACAGAAAATATATCGTGAAGAAACTTGAAGGGCGGCTTTCCAAGAAGCTTGTCAGATAGCGGTGGCTTCTTGATGTATTTTCCCAGCGAATCTTTGGTCGCCTGCAGCACTATAGGGTCTATTTCTTCTGCCATGACTTCGAAACCGATGACTTATCTGATTCGATCTGAAGCTTTCACCTGCAGGCAGATAGATAACAGGTGTCAAATATACCTATTGCAAAGCAGAAACACAGTACGGTGACGTCCAATATCAATAGAAACGCCGGCTAAATTTCGCACTAATCTTAGAACATAGATAGTACGGGCCACCAAACGGGTGCAACTTGTCCCTTATTTGCGAGCCTTTCATCTAGGCTCGCATGCAGGGCTGCGGAGTCGATGGATTTTCGGCGACTCCGGCTCAGACGACTTCGCAACCCTGCCCATGATAAATATTTATTGCATTTCTGGTCAATCGCAGCGGTTTATATATGGCTAGGGACAGGGGACAGCCAGTCAGAAAAGAGCCGAGCGGTGCTCTAAGTGCCTCCCGGCTCAACTGCTCCACGTCGAGGGTCTGCCGACCAATAAACTTTATTGCAGGTCCTCCGTTCCGTCGTTTCTATCCTCAGGATACTGATATCCTTCTCCACGCCGCAACTCCCACTCCGGGCTGGGCAGGCACCTTTATCTCATGCGGGCCGCTCCCTTGGAGCGGCACCGCTGCTCCCGAGGGAGCGCACCCCGTAGCCGGGTGCAGTGAGTACCTTGGGGCTGGTCGGCCTGTCCTCTGGACGGGCTCAGCCCCAGTGACTCACTTTGGACTCACTAGGGCGCCTGCCCAGACCAATGTCTCCCCCTATTTCCTATCATCCTCCCGGCTTTGAAATGGTCTGATTGGACCGAAACGACCTAACCCAACAAAACAAAAAACAAAATTGCAGGTTCAAGGACATTTGTCGTACCGGTCCATTCGTACGCCTGCCGTCGACCGACTTCAATGACCGCCAGCGCCTTGCCAATGGCCTACAGACAGGACCTGGACGAACATGGCACTTCACGGGGTTAAGAAGTGGCTGCTATCAATACACGGAAAACAATACACCAAAAACATTTCATAGCCTAGCCACTCTGCCATACCACCAGGCGCCATTCGCCAACGTAGCCTAGACCGGTGGCAAACGACAAACGTAGTTTTCTACCGGCAAACCGCGTTTTACCGGTAGTTTCCGCTGAAAAACAATAAGCTGTGAGTAGATGGACACTGAACAACATGGGCCTGAACAACATGGGAGCACATCAACATGGGCCAGTCTGAGATAGGCGATAGCCTGGCTGGTTAGGGGTTAGGTAGGTAGGTCTTATGGTAAGCAGTTGCCAGTTAGCAGATGCATACTGTAGCGCCAATATGCCAAGCCAGTGCACGTAGGTAGATGATACAAATCCCAAGTTCGCTGTAGAAATACATTACCTGCTTAAGCAGTCGCAGATCGACAGTACAGTACCCGAATACCAGAGGCAAGACCAAGGCCGTATAAGTTAGGTAAGATCGTCCGGGCTCGCTAATGTTACAAATCTGCAACACTACGGTGACGTCACCGGCGCATACGCTCCCTGGCTCCATCCTGACCCTGATGCGGCGGCTGGAATCGCTGCTAATCGAAAAATTACTTGTGCAATAGCGCTTTTAAATGACTTTAAAAAGGGGGAAAATATGATAACAAAATAATTATGAGAATCCCCTGTCCCGACTTGGATCGTACGACCCCGCCACCTAGCGGACAACGCCGTAATTAGGGTTGAGTTGGCGATCTCCAGGTGGCTCGTCACTCGTCAGCTGTCAGCCGCAGGCAGGCGAGGGCCGGCAGGCGCTTAAGTTATGTTAACGCCAGGTCATGCTCAGGAAAATGCGACATGCTTCATAACGGTCATTTATCTCGAAAAAGATGCGGTGCCCTGTGGTGCTATGGCCCACATGACTCGGGACCCGTGAGGCCCCTGTAGTCACCAGCAGCTCCCAAGGCTGCTACGGACGCGATACCGCAGATACGTACTCCGAAAATTGCTAGACAAAGGACTGCGATGGAGCCTGGAGGAATGCATTGCAAGGACTATGTTTTGGTTTATGTTCCTGTGCGTAATCGCGGGGCTATCGGTGTTAGGGTCCCGGGGGCCAAAGCCATGCGGGCAACTGGGGTGTATCTGGATGGTGAATGGTGATGATATCGTGTTTTTGTTCGGCCACATGGGCACAATAACGAAAGCATTGATTCACTCCGTCCGAAAGCCTAGGTACCGAACCAATTAAGAACCACCAACAGATGTATTCCATGACAGGAAACAAAACGACCCCAACACTGCTCGCGCATGTCTATCCAATATCCATCCAGTGAGGGAGCACATGTGGTCCGTGTCCCCGCACACACGGGCACACAGACGATGGGTAACGCAACCACGAGTCGGCACAACGCAATCACGAATGGTTAACGCAACCACGAGTCGGCACAACGCAATCACGAATGGTTAACGCAACCACGAGTCGGCACAAAGCAATCACGAATGGTTAACGCAACCACGAATGGTTAACGCAACCACGGGTCGGCACAACGCAATCACGAATGGTTAACGCAACCACGAATGGTTAACGCAACCACGAGTCAGCACAACGCAATCACGAATGGTTAACGCAACCATGAATGGTTCACGCAACCACGAGTCGGCACAACGCAATCACGAATGGTTAACGCAACCACGAGTCGGCACAAGGAGCAAGAGGCCAAGCCGGCAGCTCGCGTGATCACGCCCTGGGTCCGCGCCTCAGCCGGGGTAGGCTCACCGTGCCATCGCCGAACTGGATGACCATCGTGGAAGAGTTCGAGGTCATCTTCCGGTTGATGATGGGTGCTACCGTCGACGGTCAGTCCGGTATCGTGCAGAGGCTGCTGGCGGCACTCCAGGTAAAGCGTCCATCTCTGGACGCCAGGATCGCGAGGAAGCTGGTGACGACGCGGGTCCACCTTCGGATCCGCTCACTAAACCAGCGCCAGGACGAAGTCGTAAGCACAAGTGATCCGCTCCTCGCGTAGGCCGGCCTGGCTCCCAGTGATGGTGCGCCGGGAGCTGCTCGCTGCCCGGCTGAACTGTCTGACAGCCTCAGAAGACAGAAAGTGACGGCGCTCTCCACACTGGCGAGTGATGCCGGGGTAAAGATGTCGGCACTGGACGCCGCCGGCAGACGCAGTGCGTTCTCCACCTGATTCAGCTGCTTCCTGCCGATTTACCTGAAACAAAGTCAAGTGAAATCAATGATCCTTCTTACCTAAGTGGTGGCCTGAGCTCTGCAATACGTGGACGTATCAATGGCCACAAAATCTATCTAATTAAGGTGCTGTTTAAATAAAGATAGAATTAATAGTGAATAGTGATTGTTGAAATGGCGACGGTCGGTGAGCTTAAACTAATGTTAAGTGGGAAACCCCAAAATTTAGTGTGTACAGTCTGTCTTAAAAGTACCGCGCAAAGTGGCGGTGGATCCATCAAGCCTTACCGAAGAAAGGCCTGCTTTAATTTAAAAGTCACCGAACCAATTGACCTGAGGAATGGACGAGAATATCAATTGCTTCGATGACTCAAATTAAGCAGGCCCTCCCTCGGTCAGGCTTGATGGATCCACCGTCACTTTGCGCGGTACTTTTAAGACAGACTGTACAATATCTTAGCGCGAGCACCACTTATCGTAACAACACTGCTCGCTGGGAGCACTACTAAACGATTGGTCTAGCGGAAAGGAGGGTCGGTAGACACTTCAACTATTCTGACTCTCCGGAATTTTACTGATTACCAAAGTCAAGATATAGCATGCAATCCGTCCTGTTTAACGCCAACTCCGATTTCGACTATTTGTCCAATTGAACTGGGCGCAATAAATAGACACATTCAAGTGCAAAACAAAAATAGGAGAGATAATGCAGACATTACACTCATAGAGCTGGTTACAATGGCTTGATTACCATGACGATTGAAGACGATTGAATGATAGCGATAAAAATGTCGAGCAAGTCGAAAAGAAATAAATGCAGCTCACCACTCCGGACGTGCTGGCGGACTTGCTTGGCGGCGCGTCTCTCGGCTGCGACTTCGTCCTGGCGCTGGTTTAGTGAGCGGATCCGAAGGTGGACCCGCGTCGTCACCAGCTTCCTCGCGATCCTGGCGTCCAGAGATGGACGCTTTACCTGGAGTGCCGCCAGCAGCCTCTGCACGATACCGGACTGACCGTCGACGGTATCACCCATCATCAACCGGAAGATGACCTCGAACTCTTCCACGATGGTCATCCAGTTCGGCGATGGCACGGTGAGCCTACCCCGGCTGAGGGCGCGGACCCAGCTGGATGGGACTGAGCTGGGCGGAGCTTGGTCTGTAGTCTGTCCCAGCCCAGCATCCAGGTGGCGGCACTTGGCCGCGACGAAGCCAGCGACAAACGCAAGGGCCTCCCGTTCCAGGCGCTCGTCTCCAGCTGTCGCAGATTCCGACTGGAGAGGCGTGACCTCTTCGTGAGATGAAGATGGAGGAGCGGCTACTGCCTGGTAGGCTCCTTCTGCTTCGTTGTCCTCACGTGCCGCCAGTTCTTGGTCCGGCTCTTCAAACTGGAAAAGTTGAGAACTGTCAAAGCTGGAAATGGATGCAATGATAGTACGAATGCCAAATCAGCTATATTTGGCAGTTGGCACTGCATGCCTAGACATTGCCGTTTTTTGTATGCCTGCACGATTATGCATAAAATGAGAATCTCTACTATAAACTTAAAATATTACTTTAAAGCAGTGCTTAATAATAAGATAGAATCATATGATCCTCTATTTGCAAAATTTCATACGTTCCAAGGGCGTGGAGGATAGTAGACATGTAGCAATTCAGGCAGTGCCCCCAGCTGGTAGGTCTAAGTACCTGAATGAGCAGGCCCTCCAGGGCCTCGTTGGAGACGCACGGGAGCTGCTGCGGTGCGCGGCTCGTCGACATTAAGTCGCTGGGTTCCAGCTGCAGTACTGCTCGACCGCTGGAAGCAGCCACCTGTGGAGCCGGCGCCATTAGCAGCACTTTCAGGCGGGAGCGCACTTCTACCGCGTTGGGCGTGGTATTCGCTCCACCCAGGCTCCGGATCTGCGAAAAGCAGTTCTCTAAGCAATCTTGGTTCAGGTGGCTGGTCAGGACAAACTGCAGCTCGGGCACAGTACGATGGAGCTCTTCGTACAGCCCACGGAGAGATACTGTGGTTCGTAGCATTCCCTGCTGGAACGGCAGCATGCTCCGATGACCGTTGGGGTGCTTTGCAGACGTTTTACGAGTGTCGGAGATCAGAGACGTCATCTTGTCCAGGGCCCGGTCCTGGACCGCTTTGATTTCAGCAGTCCTCCCATAGGCGGACCGCTCGATTGTGGCGTCGAACTGACTCCGGCTGTTCAAAACGTCAAACCACGCATTGGCCGTCAAGACAGCCTCGGCCTGTGGTTGGCGGCGCGGCAGCAGCTCCTTGATGGCGGTGCCCACCGTGTGCGAAAAGAGCTGCGTGGCCAGCCGGACCCGCTGGCTCACCTGACCGGTGCCCTGCAAAACAATGTTGACAACATATTATTGCATTTTCACGTTACAAGCAATAATATGTGCTATAAGGTCGTGTTAGTGGAAAGGGAAAACGTGGGTGTTGTGCGTCGTGTTGGTTCGCACCAGCAAAGTTTATTTTTCACTGATCGTACCACCTCACTTATTTAAAATTTAACAATAAAAAATGCGGTGAGGCTGCTAAGAGGCTGCTGGCGGAACTCCAGGTGAAGCGTCAATCTATGCAGTACTTCTGCGAGCAAATGCATGTTTTCACTGATCGTTCCACCTTCCAACCAACCAACCAACCAACCAACCAAACAAACAAACAAACAAACAAACAAACAAAAGCAAAGCGGCGAATACTACATCAGTTTTGCCACAGAGGAGTCAAAACACATAGCTGCACAGGGCCGCTGTCTGAAGCAGCTAAGTTGGCGGTAATGTTCGGTAGTCACAGCGTTCCCTAAAGCAGTTCTTAAATGCTATATTAAAAGCTCGACAATGTGTCAAAGAAACCACGTTTAGCCCGCAGCAAGACACCAGCTGAGCGACAAACGAAGGAGCGAGACAGCCTGCACGTCGTAAAGCACGAAGCGAGACATCCAAATGACAGTGCAGGGTGGTGGCCAGTGCAGGGCACCCTCTAGCCGGTCCACTCTGGT